ATTGCCAACACCTATTTACATTTCGTTAGCCTCATAGCATCATTGCCTAAGTCATTTTTTGGTCAAACTGAGATATTTGCCTAACTTTACTCTCCTATCACTTCTGCATCATCCTGTCTTTCTACCTATGTCATTGGCCAATCACATCTGGTTGAATGTACTGTTAAAAATCAATAATAAATACCAATGTCATTTCTAAAAATTGTGTTTTTTCTCATTTCCCAAAAACATGAAAATATGACTTAGGCAAGTATGCTATGAGGCTAACGATTTGTAACATTATGTTCGTCACCACATGAGACATGATCAAAACAGAAAATGCTCCTTATTCTAACACAAAACTGAGTCATTTGTCTCACCTGTTGCAGAAACATCCCACATCAGAAGATGAAGTTGTACTGTCTGTCCACTAGATGGAGCTAAATGATCATCTGATGGAGCAGCAGCACTTCTGATTACATGTCTCAGCCCTGGTTTCTAACAATGGGGTACCAGACGGTCCAGAACCTCAGACTGAATTTAAACTTCTTCTTCTTCAAAGGCCCTTTTTCCTCATTTCTAAAAGTGGGACTACATTTATGCCATGTTCATGCTGTGAGATGCTCAGTTCATACAGACAGTAATGTTATGCTTCAATAATACATGAATGGAGAAATACTTCAAGAAATGATCTTGTGTGTGATTATTATCTAGTATAATTTATTAGGGTCCGAGCACTACAGTGCGTAGGACCCTATTGGAAAGTTATGTCATTATTTCTTTGTCACAAAGAAACACATTTCACAGCCCAAAAACACACGAAAAAACACAAAACTTGGCACACACATCAGACCTATTAAAGCCACAAGCAGCATTGGACGGGTCCTCGCGCACGTCGGGTTGTGGCGCAAACGTGCTCCGGGCGGGACTGTGATCCCGCGTGTCGAGTTTGGGGCGGATCGAAGCACGTGCGGCCAAGTTGCTGTGGCGTGCGTGTTGGCCAGGTATTCTGATTTTGGCCCACTGCTCATGCGCAAAGTGCTCTAATTGGTCTGGGACAGTTTTTTAAAATTATTATCATTATTCTTTTGGAATAGAACGCTGGAATATCCCCAAGTCTGGACCTCGTTTTCTGTATCTCACAGAGCGCTAAACTTCACGTCTACTTCCCGCTACAGCAAGCATGGAAAAGAACGTAGACCCGCTGCCACCTAGAGAACGTTAACCCCCAGCGCTTGTCAACTGCTGTAAAGTGTCGCAAATAATAACGACTCAGATATAAAAAAAATAAATAAATAAATGACTCAGCCTGACCATTTGTGTCTGATTGCACAGTGAAATAGAAAACTCGTATTAACTTATTGAACACTTATTTTATCCCCTTATGTATTTATTTGTAAATACATGAAATGTTCAACATATTTATTTCCTTGCAAATCCTACTAATTTATTCAAATTAACTTTTAACTTGTACCTAACATGAAATATCTTCATGAATTTCTAGATAGTAATTTTTTAGGTGGGTTACATTTCCATGGTGCACCTCACATCCACTCATGCGACACTTTCTCGATTAGCCGAGAGTTCAGAGGGTTCATCCATCCTTAGATACAGTCAATGCTCAAAACTTGTTTATGCTGCCCTCAAGTGGACAAAAGGAAAAACGTTACGCAGGTGCATTCTGTGGATATCTTTTCTCAGCTTATTATTAATTCAACATCTACATCACATCTTTAGCAAACAAAATAAAGTATGTGTTTTAAAGAAGCCACAGAAATTGTATGTCATGTCACCCATAAGCAATTCCACAACAGCACAGTGCGGCTTAGTTTATGGATTACTTACGCGATTAAATGTGATTTGTTTACTACACATGTTGAATTGTCATGATGCAAAGGAAATGAAAGCGGTTTAGCGAGTCTGCTGCCAAATTAGCTCATTTTGCTGTTTATGTTGTTCTCAGTAATGCTCGTCCGCATCAATCTGCTATCTCTGGTAAACAGAACAGACACCGGTGCACCATGATGGAAGTGTTGTTGGAGGAGGAGGGGATGAGGAGGAAGATTAAGACGTCCATCTGTTGCACGACAGTCAGCTCCGATCAGCATGTGGACCAGCTGATTGTTATGACGCTTATGCTGAAATAATTGGAAATGGGAGCTGCATGAGCGCTGAATGGGGAAAAATAAAGGTTATAGATTACAATACACTTTATAAATCAGCACACAGTGCAGCAGAGGTCAGCCGAGGTCAGAAAGATCCAGCAGTGAGAAGGCGAGTAAATACTGCAGGGTCAGTGTGGCGCTTACAGACGACTCTGCCTGATGAACTGAATAAGTGAACGAACTGACTGAATCAAGGCATGAATCCCTGTGTGAGTGTGTTAACCTCGAGGTCTCATGCATCTAAAAGAACCTTTAAAAGCAATGATTCATGTTACTTTGATTAAACTAAAAACATTGAAACCAAAATCTGCTTTAAGATTCTTAAAACTGCCAGTTTTGACACCGATCCTTTCCCTACTAGGCTTTTTGTGTCACTATGTTTTTATGCAGCTGACTCATATGATCCAACGCATGATGGGTTTATATCTTATGTCTTACATATTAGTCCTGTGGCGTTTAAGCCACAGATTTAATGATTGTACAAGATGGAAAGAAAACAATTGGATTTGAATCTTGTAATTTGAATGTCCTGGCCAGTGGTGGAGCCAGACAATTTTTGCAGGGGTGGCCATAATGACACTCATTTTGGCGTGGCATAATGTCTCGCTCATTTTTTCATATTGCTGTCAGCCAAATAGTCATTTATTTGGTCATTCACTGTCATCATTTACTTATGCAGGCATGATTGCTGTGTAGAGGTTCATGAGAATTCATCTACAGTATAAAAGCATTTTATGTAACTCTGAATTGACTGAAAATATGGAATGGTTGCTAAAGTTATGCTTTTTTAAATTAGGGTCCGAGCACTAACAGTGTAAGGACCCGATTGGAACTGCTGTGATTCTTTTTATTTTTTCCTTCTTAATTTTGAAATGCATTTTTGAGAGCCTAAACGTACTCGAAAACTCACCAAAATCGTCACACATTTCAGGACTGGCGAAAATTGCAACATTATGGGGGACTTGGACATGTCAATGCCAAAATAGCTCCACAGCGCCCCCTTGAAAATTTTAACGGAGTCCTGTTGGAAGCACGTTTGACCTAGACCAGGGGTGTCCAATCCTGGTCCTCGAGGGCCACAGTCCTGCATGTTTTAGATNCAGCACACCTGATTCAAATGATCAGGATCGTTATCAGGCTTCTGCAGAGCTTGATGATGAGCTGATCATTTGAATCAAAACACCGGAACTCGAGTTCGGCGTGGCTGCGCGCGTGACTTTTATAACTGATCACCACGAGCCTCTACTTCTGCAGCTCAGAGAAAACGAAAAGAGAAACTAGTCGATCAGCTGCAGTGTGGTCCTTTCAGGTTTTACTTGCTGTTGTGTTAAATCCACTTCCTCACGACTCTGAGCGAACAGTTTGGGGATTCTCGTCAGTCACCCTGTGCAAAACATCTCATACAAACTGTATATTTGTTTACATCAACTTTGATTTAATAAGAAAGAATATCCTGCAACAATGCAAATCCTGGTGTATGTGTGACGTGTTTCTAACCGTGTTTATTTTTAAAGGTAAACCACACCGTGCTCAGCTCATTATGATGATTCAGCACTCCTCAGGGCTTTGCACTTCCTCCATCCTTGTATGTATTTGCTTAATTTCTTTGTCCAGTTGAGCTTCACAAACGCTTGAGTTGAACTTTCTGTTTCTACAGATGTGTTTACTTTACAGTCAGTTCCTCCCTCAACCACAGCTATTCACAGGTTTGCACCTTGTGGTGGTTTTGCTGCATTTGCCTTCATTTCTTTGCTTTAAACTGTGAAAAATATACTCACCTGTGTTGCATTCTAAGAGAGCCACATTTTCACATGAAATTCTTGCTGCTGCAGCTTTAATTAAACAAGCCAAGCAGTTCTCCTCACCCACTGGCTCGTGCTCTGCGTGTCCTTTTTAAAGGTGCTTCTGAGAGGCATGAATGACTTTGCAGTTCTCAACACAGGGCGCAAGATGCCCCTCCTCGGACTGGGGACTTGGAAGAACGAGCCAGGAAAGGTAGACTGCACTTACATCATCTTCATCTGCACTTCCTCCAAAAAAAAAAAAACAGTTTCTTAAATAAGTTTTAAAAAAAAAACTCAGCTTTCCAGCGATCCATTTTCTTCACATTTTCCATTTTCTTTGTACTTCATCAAAATAAAGAAATACGTCTGTAACATTTCTGCACTAATCAACACTTTCTATAATAACAATGAATCAAATTACCACATGCAATCAGCCTTCACTTATCACCAGACCCTCTCTGCTCTGTGGTGTGTTTGTACTTCTTGCAGCTTATTGTTTTAGTTTGTACAACATTGGAGCTTTAATGTTTTATGATTCTGACTTCCGTCAACAGTTTCCACTTGCAGCAGGGTTCTTGTTTCCAGTTAAAACGTCTAAAAACACGCTGTATGCTGACTGATGTAAAATTGTTATTTGTCCCCATTTCTTCCAGTGTTGGTAACATCTTTGGTCTTTGGGCATCTGAAAGAATATTAAATATATTGATTCCAGCCCCCCCCCCCAAAAAAAACAACTTAATGTCTTGTAAACAAGATTAGAAAAACCTCAAAAACCTTTAAATCGGAGTGAATGATGTTCTATCAGACAGGCGTGTAGATTGATCATGGAATATGGGAACTGTGCAAGTTTTCTTTTATATCACACACTTCACTCGCTGAATGTTGAAATATCAACATTTCTACGTATTATTATCGAAGCCCAGCTATGAAAGTGTTGTAGGGCTTTACCAGTGGCAGCATGGATACTTTCCATGATTTTACAGGCAAGACAGTGGCTGCCATCTCCCTCACATCCCACAATGACTTCATAATCCGGTTCATACAGAGGCTTAACATTACATGATTTAAATCTGAAAATCTTTAATGTTTTGCACTTGAAATCTTTAAATTTTTTTTATAGTCGATAAACATGGTAGAAAAATAGTATTTAAATATGTATAAAACTAAATAAGAAGATGTCAACATGTGTAGCAGCTGTTACATGCATTGGTCTCTCATCTCCCGCAGCACTTCCTCTAAGGCCTCCTCTGTCGTGATTCTGGTAGGTCTGTGCTTGCGAATGTACTGTGGAAAGATGGAAGAAAATGTGGCTTATGTACAGGTTTTAAAGATTCTAACAGTTTTGGAATTTAATATCAATTAGATTAGATTTTATTGTAGTATTACTGTTCTCTGTCATGGTTACTGAGACGGTCATACCAGCGACATCACAGTCAGGACATTCAGGGAAGTTACGTGTGCAATAAATGGTCCTCTTCTGCAGTTATTTCTTCTGCTTAACCAAAAGCTGCACAGCATGATTACTGCAGCCACACACACACACACACACACACACAGGTATCTCCCAGGTAAGCATACGCTACCTCCATGGTGTCCTCCAGCCGGGTGTATCTGTAGTTGGGTGGTTCCAGGCTCTTCACCAGGCTGGAGTGCAGATGGCGGCTGCTTTCGATGAACTGCCTCGTCAGAGCAAGCTGCTGTTTCAGCATCTCATTGAGAGCAAATACGTCTGGATTAAAGGTGCTGATGGCTGATAGAAGGACACACATCAAAAAAAAAAAAAAAAGAAATTAAATCTCTGCTACAGCTGTAGCACCTTACAAGCCCAAACATCTTTAAATCTTGCAGGGTTGGTAGCAAATAAAGTACAGGTGTTTCTAAGGTATTTCTTTTTTTTAAAAGATCTTTTAGTTGAGAAAAACTAACAAGACCACAGTACAGAAATACGCTGTTACAAGAAATATTCAGTGGTGAAGTGAACTTGAAGTACTCAAAATAAAAGCACTCATGCAGAATGACCCATTTCAGAATTTGATCTTATGGACTGTGTGTGGATGTGTAGCAGAGCTGCAGCTGTAGATTAATCAGTTCTTTGGCTTCAAAACATCAAACAAAACGTCCTATCACCACTTTGCAGAGTTAAAGATGTTGCCTTCAAATGTCTTTTTTTCATCTGAGCAACAGTTGAAAACCCAAAGATCTTCAGTTTTGCAGTGTGATTAGGAAAACATGAAGTGGTCTCATTTGTGAAGCTGACAACGAAATAAGATTTCTCTTGCTTTGCTTTTTTTTGTTTTTATTATTCTGCAGCTGTAACATGTGAGCATCTCTAGTGATTCCCTCCTCATCCTCTGAGCAGGTATAGTTGATTGATGGTTTGATATTTCATTTGTACACAAATGTAATTTCCCCAGCAGAGGTTGCACATCAGCACTGTATAGGTACAGCATTTTAAATAAGACCACCCTCAAAAAGTTTACTTTTGTTGACTGCAAAATGTCTTTCTTGAATTATTTCCTGGATTTCAGAAGGCACTCACTGACCCACCTTTAAGTGGCTCTGCAAATACAGCATTCCACCTGGAGATGGTGCTAAAGCAACACAATACATTTAAGTGGCCCACAGTACCACAGCTGTCAGAATTTTCTATTTTCCTTGTACAAACCCCAATAAATCTTACAGAATTACCATCTAGATCAGGGATTAACTGATTTTCTGTGACAAGTGTTTCAGCTTCAAAAAGCTAAACCTCGGCAGAGAAAGGCTCTGACTGCTTCCTCGTTCTGAGTGTGTTAGTGTTGTTCTGTTTCATTACCTTCCACCATTTCTGCACTGACAGTATGAGAGACTGCTGGAGTGGGATTCATGTAGCTCAAGCCCACTGCAGGGCCCAGTGCAGCCACACCTACAGAAAGATGAGGGCCACAGGTCAGACACAGGCAACACATTTATACTTGAAACCGATTATGCTTGTGTGGCAGACTAACCAGTTGACCACGTGTAGGCCAGTGGATCAGGCTGTGTCTGTACTGCTGCCTCTTTCACTGCCTTTCTGGCTGAAGCCTGCCTCCTCGACTGCTGAGATGAAGTCCAGCTTCCACGTGACACTGAGGATCTGGAGTCCCTGCTTCTGCTGTATGACTTTGACGTACGAGTGCGATCTGAGGTCCGCGAGCCACTTGTGTCTGAGAAAGAACTCGAGTAATCATCATCTGTCCTCCCACGAGACACATCTGAATCCTCTCTGACCTCAGATGCCACCTCATCTCCATCTCCATCTCCTTGCAGGTGCTCTGAAACCTTGCTGGCACTGTTATTTGTCTCTGTCCGGCTCTCACTCTCAAAGTCACTTTGGTAGTCCAGCACCTCTTCCTCCTGCTTTGGCAGCTGCTGATGTCTGTCTGTGGATCCAGGAACAGAGGCAGCACGTTTGGTTTCCCTCTGTTTTAAGCAGCAGGAAGAAAGGAACATATTACTTTAACCCTCTAGACCCCCAAACCTGAAAGGCATGGTATCTTAGATATGAACTAAGAAAATGGCTGCATTTATCATCCAGAAATGATTAAAACAGAACAAATTGTCAGATTTTAAACTTTCTGACGACCCTTAAACTAATTATCTGACATGCTGGCCGGAAAAACCACCAGATCTAAGCTTAATATCACAACAACATTTGACAGATATAACTTTGTTTTATATACCCATTTAAAACTTTACAGAGTCACCGTTTTTTTCCCCCCAGTGTTAGTAACACTGATTCCAGGTTTTTACAATAATAATAATCACAGTAATCAAACTTTTGTTTTTCCTTTTGTTTTAAAAAAATGTTCTCTTCTATATTGAATAAAAGATGTTTATGAGATATCTCTAATCCTAGCTATTGTTATGCTATTTCCATAGAGATGCAGGACTTTATATTGGAGTAAAAAATGAGCCTATAGTAAATTAAAAATGTGACAGGCACAGAAAGTCCCCAGAAACTGTTAAAATTAGATTCTGGGGAAGAAAAAAAAAAGAGAAACAGCTCAAATTTTGAGGTATTTTTCTAACTACCAGATGTATAAGATTGTATGTTATAATCCTACTGGTTTCTACTATCTCTCCATATCTAATCAGGGTGCTTGATCTCAGTCTACTGGCCACTTAAAATCAAAACCGATCGACCTCATGGGTGCATTGTCACTTGTTTGTTTGATCTCTGTATCACTAGTTCTTTATTTACCATTTTACAGCAGAGGCAGAATCTGTACATGCTCACAGCTTCCTGTCAATATATCATCCTGCTTTTAATCATTTCCAGGATGTGATATAGAACATAATCGGATTATTTATATCCCTCTGTGATCTGACATGTGAACATTATCCAGGTTCATCTGTGTCACGATGCTTCCACTTCACAGATAGTCTCTCATTTTTGTCCAGAGGAGTAAGTAATAATATTCTGACACTTTTAATCGTGGCTGTCCCTACCAGGTTTTTATATATTTGTTTTAATTCTGTTTCCTTTAATATACAACTTTCAGTTACACCCACAACAAATAATTCATTAGTCGATTAGTTATCTACCATTAAACTAATCACCAACTGCTTTGATCATCAATTAATTGGTTTAAGTCATTTTTTAAGAAAAAAAAGTCAAACCTTTCTGTTTCTGGCTTCTTAAATTTGAATATTTTTTGGTTTCTTGTCTCCTCTACAACAGTAAGCTAACTAGTTTCTGTGTACACATCAGAGGACATCATCTTGGACACTAATCCACATTCTCCCCCATTCAAAGACATTGTACAGACCAAAAAGACGAACTGACTAAGTAGGAAATTAATTAACAGACAAACTGACAATGGCAATAATAGTTAGTTGCAGCCCTACTTTCTGTGCACAGAGAGGATGTCAGAGGGAAGCTTTTGTGGCAGAACTATCTGGACGGGATTTAGACATTCATTAACTTCAGCATTAGCAAAATGCTGAGGTTAATGAGGCGGCTTAAAGCGTTCAGAGTTCTGGTGGAACACAGTGGGGTGTTTATGGCAGCTGTCATTTCTGGAGCAAACATCTGGATTTCTAGAGCTGGTAGACCACCTCCATCGAAATGCCTGAATCTGCTGCCTGGCAACATTGTTGGCTTTGCATTAATTCATGGTGTAGATTCTGTCAGACCTACTGACACATCTGCACACATAAAGTATGATCCGCATCCTAATTATGATTTATGTGGATCAAATTATAATGTTTGCACGGAACACCAGTGACCTGATTACTTATGCAATTTGCAGCAACGTGAGCAAATGAATTGCAGAAAAATGTCATATTATGAGTGCAGCCTGTCATTCTACAGTCCGTCTGTAGTCTCCTCTCAGAATCGGCTATTTGGTGCACTGTAACAGTTTAAGAGACGCATCAGATGTGAGTGACAGACTTTTACAAGAAAATCAAAAGCAATTAAAAAAACCTTTCTTTCTTTTATTCTGGTGGCACTCAAGGCAGCTGCGTATGTGGTCTATATCAGAAACCTGGCTGTGCTCATCGGCATTCTCATGTCTAACAATGGATCAGAAGACGATGATATAACTCTGCAGCTCCTCTCATGTTGCAGCCCATCGTTTTTGTTTCATGTTCTTCCACTTGACGATTAAAGTTCAGCCTCTGTGCTCTCATTATCCTCATTTACAACAGGCAGCGCTGAACAGCAGACAGACAAAGTTAGCAACACGCAGTGGAGCACTTGGCGGCTAAAGAGCTGGACATTTCCCTAATGAGTTGGTAGAGTCCAAACCAGCGGTAAAATTAAACAAATTGGATTTATATTTGTCAGGAGGCCTGAAACGTAACTCTAAATGAATTCTGATGTCGCTCTGTGTGTACTGGATGTGTAAACAACAGAGCTGAGGTTTGGTGGTCAACGTGCTGATTCGACCAAACTCTTCCTAGTTGGACAATCACTGGTGTTACTTTCATGAGGAGAAAAGCTCTACATCAGCAGCCTTTTCAGGGTGAGATCACAACATCACGTGATCATTCTCTTTCTCCAGGATCAATTAATTTGTTGAAGAGCAAGTAGTCGATCAAGATTTTCTTTGGTTAACTGCAACCTTAGTAAATGTGACAATATTTAACTATTGTATTCAAATCTCTTTTTACTAACTTGGTTGTTTGCTCTTGTGTTTAAAATGTTTTCATAATGGATTACAAATTCTGTCAAGCTACAATTGCTCCAATGGAATGAATGTAGCTCCTTACATTATACACATAACCGACTTCACTTTATAACACTCTTCTTAAATCATTTCTGTAACTTCCCACCTGTTCTCCTGGTGTTTCCGCAGTAAATCCAATGGCATCGGGCACAAGGTCGTCCAGTGTCATCACATTAATCTTGAAATCTGTAAGAACACACAATCACCACGACAGAATTTAAAACAGGGATGTCCATGTTGCTCTTTATCACATCAGTACTAGTGCTGCTGCTAGTGAGGCTTAAAAAAGACATTAAAACCACCTGGTGGTTAAAAGCCAGAATAATAACGTTGATCTAGCTTGACGTATAAGTAAAGAAAATCTCAGTGAATCCTGTTGGAACGTTTCATAAAACATGCTTCATTTTACTCTCTCCCTCTGACTGCACAGGAATTGGATTTTTCTATCTACAGTGCCGCAGATATTTTGCGTTTACTTGGGTTATCTTTGTCCGATATTTACATTTGTTTGATGATCTTAAACATTAAAGTGAGGAAAATATGCAAAAAAAATAAGAATTTGAGAAATACTTTTTCACAGCACTGTACTAGCTTGTCAAGTACGTATGATTTCTAGTTCATTCCAGCTCTGCAGACGGATAAATTATGTACCTTGTTGTCCCTCTTGGTTGCATGAGTTGAGGAGTGAAAAATAAAACATTATTATTGAACAGAGGAATGAAGGCCATGCACTCTCCTCTTATTTAGAATGAATGAAATGATTTAATTTTAATGTTGAACGATTCCTGTTGACTCTTGATCTTTCTAAATATACCACATCAACCAACACGAAGTACTGGCTGCAGTGTTTGAGGTCTCTCACCCTCAGAAGAGACGGATCTCATCTCGCTGTGTGGATCATCCAAGCCAGGCCCGACAGGGAAGAGCTCCTCCAGTGAGAGCACTTCACCGCGGCCAAACGTGGATGAGAGGGAAGGCGGTGGACTGTCTGTCTTGTGAGACGAGCCTGGTCTCTCTGGAGGAGAGGGAGAGGGCGATGGAGAGAGCACAGAGGGGCTGAAGTGGGTCTGAGCCTGGCCTGTGAATCGAAAAGGAGAACTGCGACGAGGAGGAGAGGCGGGAGAGCGAGGTGAAGCTGGAGGCGATGAAGGACGGACAGCAACAGCAGGAGGAGGCGTGGACTGAATCCTCCGACCGCTTCTGCTGAACATCTGTGTAAGTGGAAGGAACAGCCGTGCTTTGAACTGATAACAAAGTGTCTGTCAACCATCAAACTGCAAACACTATCATGAATTCACTTCATCTGAGCTTCAGGTTCTCCTGCTTCCTCCCACACAGTCCAAAAACATGTTGAGGTTAATTGATGATTTTAAATTATCCGTAGGTCTGAATGTGAGTGTGCTTGGTTGTCTGTCTCTAAGTGTAGCCCTGTGATAGACTGGTGACCTGTCCAGGGTGTCCCCTGCCTTCACCCTAAGTCATCTGGGATAGGCTCCAGCCCACCTGACCCCAGTGAGGATTAAGCAGTGTATAGATAATGGATGGATGTTATTAGGACAGAATCTGCAACAGGTCAGATTAATGAGACTCACCAAAAATGAATGTAATCTGGGTTTTGGCAAAACATCAACGTCCTGATGTTTAGTTTGTTGTTTCCAGCTGTTTGCTGTTAAAAGGTATTTGACACTCGAATTGTTTCTTTTGCTCTCTGTGACAAAATCACTTTACACAACTTGAAATCTGCTGCTTGTGCATCACCTTCTGTTGATGCCATAGCATGCAGTTCAGATTTGTGTTGAAAGCAATACAGAAGTTTCTTAGGTCCAGTATAGTAAGACTGCTGTTGCATCACCCCCAGTTGTAACAGAAAGGTGCATGTCGGACAGGGGCTTGAATGTGGATGTTATGAATCTAAATCTAAAAGAAATGTTAATCTTTTTTTCTGTTTTTCATTCAATCTGGTCCTGAACACATACAGAAACTCTAACATGCCAATTGGTGTCATTAGCCAACACTATCCATGAACAACAGTATATTCTATAGCATGCCTATTGACATCATGCCACGAGGTAACAAGATTAGACTAGACAACACAGCTGTAATTAAAGGGAGTGAAAACCAAATGAAAACAGCCCAGTGTTCAAACCTGAAACATACCTTGTCCATCTTTTTTGCAGAAGGAGGTCTCCCTGCTCTTAAGAAGCTGTAGTCTGTTGAATCCAAGGAGTCTCCAAGCAGTTTCTTCATATCCTCTTCATCACTTTCCAGACTCACACCAGTCGTTAGTCTCGCTGACTTCGTCTCCAAACCCTCTGAAGGGCTGACAGGATTAGCAGCTCTGGACCTGGACCTGACATCAACATCTGCACTCTTTGGAGCCACAGCAGGAGCAGCATTAGAGCTTTCAACTGCTTTAACTGCTTTGTTCTTGAGGAAACGGTTTCCTCTCGGGCTCTGGTCACTGCTGGACTGTGCTGAGAGCGGCACAGGGACCTCTGGGGACTGGGTGGATGGTGGTCGTGGTGAGATTCCTGAGTCTGACACTGGATTGATTGCAGGTTTTGTCTCCTGTCTGATTTGCTCCTGAGTCGGCTTTCGACTGCGGACCCGGTTCTTGATTTCAGCCAGTTTATTTAAAGCTGTAGTCTGGGAGCTCCACAGGGAAGACGACATGGATCTGAGCAGAGGAATGAAAAAGAAAAAAGAAAAAAAATCACCTTTATTTTAAATTAAGAGATGTTTTTATTCATTTCATTCACTTGCTGATTATCATCACTGTTTCTTTTATATCCACAGAACCTTACCTTGGTTCAGACACCTGTTGCTTTTGATTCCTGCTGACAGGTGACTGGCTGCTGTTTGTTGGAGGTGGAACCTTCTTCAAGAACCTGCTGCCTCCTCCCAGAGAGCTCGGAGGCCTGAAATCCTACCAAAGAAATCAAATCAAAGTTTAACATATAATTGGACTTACAGGGCTGCTAGATGTGGGAAGAAGCAGGAGAAACTGAAGAGAACCCACACTGCACAGGGAGAACGTACGCAGAAAGATCCCGGTGTCCTCACTGGGACGCAAACCGACGACCTTCTTGCTGCGAGGCAGCAGTGCTACCAACTGTCCCACCTTGCAGCCCTCCAAGAAAGTCAACTTAGGTTTTTTTATTAGGATTTTTGGGACTATGACTGTAATACTGCACGAAAGTAACTTTTGAGTTCTCGCTAATTCTCAGAGGGTTAACGCGTACACTTCCATTTCCCACACATGATGAGATACAGCAACAGTTAGTCATGTCTTTGTTGTGGTTTACCTTGTTGGAATCTCCCTCTTTTCCATGGTTCTTCTCAGCATTAGCAGATCTGGCAGCATTAGCTCCATGCTCAGAAGCTGAGGACAGGTCACTCAGATCAGACAGTACATTGCGTGTATTTGAGGGAGCAGATCTAGCTTTGATAGACCCACCCACAAAAACCTAGGAAGAAGGAAACAAGTATTTTTACTTACCTAAGAATTATTTTATAGTACATGTATTTCATTTAAGCATTTCGATTTCATGCTATTTTGTAATTGTACTCGTATTTTCCATTCATCTACTTGGATTTAGAGGGAAATATTGTACTTTTTCTCCACTACACTGAAACTATCGTCATTATTTACTTCAGAAATTCTGACTTTACAAACAAAACCCATGATCTGCTTAGATATGATGCATAATTTTTTGATTAAAATGCAATACGGAAGTGGTAAAATTACATCAAATGTTACCAGCAGAAACATTCAAACACTGTTTACACATTAATGTAACAGTATTCTAATCCAATAAACTACATATACACCAATCAGCCACAACGTTAAATATATGCCGAATACTCTGATACTGCCAAAGCCTGGACTTCACAGATAGGGACGAGGACAACATCCCGAAAGTCACCATGGATGGATTGGTTTGAGATCTGGTGAATCTGAAGGCAAAGTCAACACACTGAACTCTGTCATGTTCACCAAACCATTACTGAACAATGTTTGCAGTGTGGCAGGGAGCATTATCCTGCTGAAAGTGGCCACTGCCATCAGAAAATATTGCAGTCAAGAAGAGGTGAACGTGGTCTGTAGCTGATACGTGTCAAAGTAACACTAACATGAAAGCAATGTTTCCCAGCAGAACATTTTCCAGGTAAATGACACACATACCTGGCCATTCACATGATGCAATAGAAAACATGATTCATCCATTGTTCTGTGGTCCAGGTCCTACACATGTGTCCATTGTTGGAGCTTTTAGTGGTGGACGGGAGGGGGAGGTGTTACCTGTGGCTGCAGGTACACAGCCCCATATACAGTAGCATGCACTGTGTGTTCTGGCACAGTTGTTCTTTCCTGTAACTGCTTTTGGTAAACATTATCATCCGGGAGCAACTCAAATGTTCTGGAGATGCTCTGATCCAGTCATCCAGGAATCACAGCTTATCAAAGTCTCTCAGACACTACACTGCCCATTCTTCATACTTCCAGCTTCAAGAACTGGCAGTTCTTATATATCCCACCCACTGACAGGAGCCACTGTAACCAGACAATCAGTGTTACTCCCCTGTCAGTGGTTGTACTGTTGTGGCTGGTCAATGTACTATTTAGGAGATATTAATTATGTATTTTGGGCATTTTGAATGCAGCACATTCACATATTTAGGCATTTTTAAACTGTGTTGTCTCTCAAAACGACACCACGTGTAGTGAAAACATGTTGTAGACACGACACTTGCTGTCAATACCTGTGTGGAGCCCTGTGTGCCTCCTCTGCCGCTCTTCTTCGCCGACAGCAGCGCCTGAGCTCGGTCCAGAGCGGAGCTTCGGCCGCCTCGTTTCCACATCTCTAAACCGTCGCTCTTTCCGACGCTGTGTTGCTGACTGTTTCCTGATATAGTCCCATACATAATGTTCACATGATATTTTCACAGCTGCTCGCCGAGTTTGGGAACGTTTCCTCCCGCGTGAGAGGCATTAAAGTTAGCTAGGTCGTGGCTAAACACATGCTAGCTTGCTAACTACATACTTTTACAGGTTATTTTTATGCCCTTCGTGACCTGCTACAGCTTAACATCAACGAGGCAACATCGAACAGTTAATAAAGTACTATCTTGTACTCAAACATTGCCTACTTTGTGAACAGTGAGCCTTCAGGCGTCCCTTGTTTCCATGGAGCGGCTTCCTTTAACGTCTTCTTCGTTGTAGCAACGGTGTGTTTTCATGTCAGTGTTCGCGCCTCATCAAACTGTCAGCGCCCCCTATAGCTCACTGCAGGTACTTGAATGAACTTCTGAGCCCATTTTTTCTGCTCCACCATCTCTCATTTTCCTAAAAAATATATACAAACAAACAAAAAAAAAAGCAATTATAGCATAAAATATAGATTTTCAAAAAGGTAAAGAAATTTTAACTTGATATATCCAATCATGTCCTAGATTGTTTTTTCACAAATTGCCCGTCGACCCACTATCGGCACATTTTTCCTGCACTGAAAATTGAGGCTATGTTTGAATTAAATTATCTCAAGAACTATTAAAGATAAAAGCCTGAAATTGTTTCCCCCACAACATGATTGCTTCAAAAAAAACTTTGAAACATTAGACAAGTACATTAGATTCTTTTAAGCTCCTTCAACCTTAGTACATCTGTTTATGAGTGCCTTAGAATATATATATATATTGTGCCAGAAAAACAAAAGTCAAGAGTATTAGTGGATAGTCTAATCAAACCAACACAGAGATCTGGACTGCTGCATTATCATTTATTTACTGATTTATTTTTTGTTAATGTATGCTCACATATGAACTTTTAATGACTTTAGTTAATTTTTTCGAGGCCAATGAGATTGGAGGCACTGCTGCAAAGATGCAGATGGTTTGACGAGCATCCCGCCTCTACGTGCAAACAGCCAGTCGTCTGCTTTGTCACAACCGACTCAGGAAACATCCAGCCAATCATGCTGCTTCACTGACGCACGCTAGGAAAGTTATAACCTGTGGGGGAAAAAAAATCACATTTCAAACCCTATTTTGGAGCAAAGCCGCAAAAGATATTTGACTGGTTGCTCTATACAGGCAGTATCTGTTTGCAGTTCATGCACTTAGGGTTCATTCACTGGCGACCTGTTCAGGGTGTCCCCTGCCTTCGCCCTAAGTCGGCTGGGATAGACTCCAGCCCCCCAAGACCCTAATGAGAATTAAGCGGTGTATAGATAATGGATGTGTGGGAATGTGGTCTTTTTGTTTGTATTTGCATGCTTTTCTTTGCCATTTGTTTGTGTTTGTTGCATGTATTTTGAGTTTTGTTTGATTTACAGCCTTGAGTTTACTTTATGTTGGCCACACCCACGACCAAGCATCCCCACAGACCTGGACACTGAGCACACCTGCACCTAGATTGCAGGTCGCCCGATAAACTCTTCATTAACAGGCATCCCTAAGTGTGACAAGAGGTCCTCTGCTAGAGTGATTGACTGGACACCAGAGAGTCAAGATTCATTTGACAAATTGAAAGAGGCCCTTTCTCAGGCTCCAATTCTAGCCTACACGGACTCCACCCAGCCCTTCATTTTATATACTGATGCGAGCCACAGTGGCCTTGGTGCGGTGCTGGCACAAATCCGGGATGGCAAAGAACGAGTCATCGCTTATGCAAGTCGCAGTTTACATCTCGCTGAGAAAAACGATTCTAATTACAGCTCGTTTAAGCTTGAATTGCTGGCACTAAAATGGGCTATCACTGAAAAATTTAAAGACTCTCTAACTGGTGCCAAATTGACAGTATTCACAGATAATAATCCAGTGGCCCACTTACAGACTGCTAAACTTGGGGCTGTCGAGCAAAGGTGGATTGCCCAAATGGGGTCGTTGGACTTTGATGTGAAGTATAGAGCAGGGCGTGAGAATGTAAATGCAGATGTACTGTCCAGGTTCCCCACAGCTTCATGGATGGATGAATTCATTCAGATAGGAACCTGGTCTTGTGAGGCCAGAATAACTACCTCAAGGTGTTACTAAGTTGCCTGCTCTACCATTTGGTCTACATTCCAATCCTCACCTATGGCTATGAGCTCTGAGTAGTGACTGAAAGAATGAAATCGAGGACACAAGCAGCTGAAATGAGTTTCGTCTGTGTGGTGGCTGGGCTCAGACACTAACCAGCACTAACCAGCTGAGGTGGTTCAGGTATCTGATGCATCCAGGGTGCCTTTGTTTGGTGATTGTCCAGGCATGTCCAGCTGGGAAAAGGCCCCAGGGTAGACCTAGAAACCTGCTGTAGGGAAAACATATCTTACTCGGTCCAGGAATGCCTGGAAATCACCCAGGAGGAGCATAAAAACGTTGCTGGGAAGAGGGACATCTGGAATGCCCTGCTTAGCCTGCTGCCGCTGTGACCTGACTCTGGAAAAGCAAAAGAAAATGGATTAATGGATGGTGAGAGATTCTTGTGCTCGAGCTGCATGAGTACACTCAAAGACCTGGGGTTATGCTGCGTAACTGATGTTACCTTTCTGTGTCAGAGGTGCAGAACGGTCGTGGCTGCATCACATTATCATTCTGCTATAGGGGAAAAAAACACTGTGTCTCGTTTGTGTTTCTCTAAACTAATCCCAGTTGTCTTCAGCCGAGCTAAGCAAAGGACGCAGCGACAGAACACCTGCAGAATAGTGTCAGGGAATTGTTTTGGTGGAAAATTTGCGTGGAGACAGGTGAGTACTGTTATCACAATGTTTTCACAGCAGCCCTGCCTTATCGCTCGAGCTTCAGCAAAATTTGCAATTTTCAGCGTATACATTGCTGCTTGGAGGTTGTTGTTATTTCTTAGACTTAGACTTTGACTGACTTCATTAATCCCAGAGGGAAATTCTGTTGTTACAGCAGCAATATTCAACAAGGGGTAAACAAGCAAACAGACAACACAGAACATTAGGGTATAAAATGAAGGTTAAATAAAGTAAAATAAAATAAGATTAAAAAAAATATAGAAAATATGATATAGAAAAGGTCATCAAATTTACCAGAATATACAAGTTTCTTTCAGTGAGCAGAATTTTCAAAAAGGTAAGCAGAGGAGAAAGCCACATGAAATGTATCGGGGTAATGGTAGATTTGAAGTCTCCATCCAGAGAGTCAGACTATAAACCTGTTATTGTGCATAACGTGTTTTTTTTTTTGAGGATTTTATTGCATCTCAAGTACAAGACAAAACTATGAGGGGCCACATAGGCCATAATTCATTCTCACACTTACATACAAATATTTTCATTCTCACATACATACGTTCTTTCTCTCACATATATACAGTCTGAAATTATGTACGTATGTATATGAAAGAAAGTATGTATGTGTGAGAAAAAGTATAGTGGAAACGGAAGCAGTTTGGTGGAAACGGAAGAAAGGCAATTTATCGCACTGTGATTGGCTAAGAAGCAGGAACAGGGTCTAGTTTGGGTCACGCTCGAAATGGATGGAAGAAATGAGACAGGAGCACTGCAACAAGCCATTAGAGTCTTAAGAAATATTTGATCATCTCCTGAAGTCATTACCTCGTTGTCTTCGTCTCTTGAGCAACAGAGGACGGGCTTGTCTGTCCCTAGCATAACTCATCCCGCGGTGGAAAATGAGAGAACTGTTCAGACCTACGGCCTCAGCAGGCCAGGCAGGTACACAAGACCAAACTGGAGGGCTGTAGCAGTCTTTAAGATAAGAGACTCAGAAACACTTTGGCAACTGGACGTCCCGACCACGGAAAATAAACCAGTCAAAAGGACTTCTCTGTTCTCAGACCTGCTTCTTTGTCTGGTTTCATATACATTCAGCAAAACTGTAGACATCCATATAAAGACCCTAACATCCCAACCACTTCTCTGTTTCTTGAATCTTGAGCAAAACTTGGGATTGTCAGGAATCCAGATAAGATATGAACATGATCATGAAGCCTCTGATGAACAAAATCTGTGGGTTCTCTTTGTATTTGTTCAATACAATTCAATGGTATTATGTTCTTCTGTCTATTATTACCACATCTGGACATGCTAAGCAAGTCTCGTTAAAGAATTTCCTGGTTTGAGAGTTACTTCCTGTACAGGGAAGAACTTCCTGTGCCAGTGAAAATGATGGACACTAAACAAACAACAAAAAGAGGACAAATACACAATGTATGTGTGTGAGAGAAGAATATATCTATGTGAGAATGTAAATATATATATGTAAGTGTGAGAAGGAATTATGTCCTATACGGCCCCTCATACAAAAACCAAAAACAGTCTTACTGTTGCACCTACATTGAAACAGGATTTTGAAAGCATTTTCATAGCAAAAGATGATGACTGTGCTAACAACTGTTGCTGCTTAGATGTAGGATAATTAAACTTTTGGAACCCAAACATACACACAGTAAAATATTTTCTTTTGAAAGAACTTTTTTCCATATCTGTTTTCTGCTTCCCTCACTGTCTTTATTCTCTCCTTTGGTGGCTCAATTTGACTTTAATCACATCATTACTACAAACTTCAACTGAATTCCTCAGCATTTGTGCGATTACCTTTGAAGGAAATTATTTTTGTGCACTCTCCTGCTGGCAGACACACAATAATATTCAAAATAACACTTCAAAACTGCAGATTTAAAAGCACTTTTCATGTCAGGATTTTTGGAGAGCTATCTATCTACGTCCTTTCTATTATGCAGCGGGTATAAGACAAAGGAGATTTCTCTGTAGACGTAGTAAACAAACTTTATTTTAAATGTTAAAAGAGTGAAATACAGAGAAAAACATCAGAGCTGTTGTCCTGTCATCCAACAGAATGATGATGCAACTCGTGAAGAATCGAGAAAATGTACAAACTGTTGTGAAGTGAAACAGCCACAACCTGTAAAAACAAAACAAAAAATCTATCATTTTACAAAATATTTCTTATTTATTTTACCAATTTTTTTCTGTACTTTTCAAATGGATGAAAATATGACAAAAATTAGCAAAACAGACTACAGTTTGTTGCAGTTATAAAAGCATATATGCTTCATATATAAATGCACACAAAGCCCCGACATGAGGAAGGCTGTCAAAAAGTGTGCTCTTATTTTTGAAGTAGTACAACAAGATGA